CAGACAAAGTTGCTTGGAGAATTCTGGGCGGCAGCCTATGCTCCATCGGGGGTAACAGGTGACAGTAAGTGTTTTGTTATAATCTCAGGCAATTTATTACATCACTGTTACCATACATCTCATATTTTGAATTTAATCTAGGTAATAATTATTTAGTATAAGGTCTCGAATACTCTAATCAAAAATGGAAATTATTCATAGTTTTATTCTAGAATTTATTGTTGTTATGAAACGATGGCGTGTTCTTTAGTATCATCTTATCACTATTTATATTAGAGTATAAAATCTTATGTAAAGTTTTTCGTTTAAGTAGCCCACTTGAATCAATGGACTTTCAATGTTCCAATTGTTGAAATATTGCACTGAAAATATCCTAACAGTGCTCACTAGTGACTAGCTTCGTGAGGAAATTCTCGGAGTTCTAGTGAGAAGACGTGACCAATGGAGTTCAACCCTGTCGGGTATAGGCAGTAACTACCAAAGATAAATGGGTGAGGTCGCGCAAAATCCCTAGATCAATCAGAGTTAGACATTAACACCGTTGGATGCCGGCCCAGTGGTCCGATGGTTAGGCGTTCGCGCACAATTCCGAAGGTCCTGGGTTCGAGTCCTTCGAGGGGCAGGAGTCGTGGATGCACACTTCTGATGAGCCCCATACCAGGACTTGACGGCCGTCTAGTGCTTCCAGGTTTCTAATGGTGGTCTAACAATGACTGATTGATGATTTCAAATGTGTAAAAACACAAACCTCCAAAACTCTGCCCCAAAATAACACATTGTTTACTAAAGAACTTTTTACAAAACTTCACGAAATTAATTCATACAACACTCAAGCCGTGAAACTTAAGGATTAAGATGATTACTGAGTGAAGAATTGTACGCAGACGTTGATCAGAAGTTATGATATGGAACCATACAATTACCAAGTGCTGTCTAGTTTTCTGTAGTTACCCAATTAATCTCAGTTCATGATGAATAGCAGCGGTAAACTTAGCTTTAAACATCACAACTCTGATATGATTGGATTACTGGAATATATTAAATACTGAATAATTCATTTGATCTCATTTACAAGCACACGAATTGTTTACTATTTCAGAAATCCGGAAGTAACATGATATCTTAATGCTGATTGGTTTAAGTGTATTCAGAATATCATTTTCCAAACACTCCCCTCTGAATCAAATGCTTTCCTTTCTAGAAAAAATGAACTATGAATGTAACAAATAAATACGCACATTATTCTGATTGGTCCAATTATGTTTCTGTCACTGTCATTTCGTCCAATCGGATTTATGAACATTTTATCTAAGGCATAAGCTGTGTATATTTAAAACCCTATTGATATCTTACACACAACATTCTCACTTTATCCTAAAGTCATTATGTCGCGAAATTGTATCAACAATCTAACACCGATTCAACGCAAACTTTTGATGAAACGAAAATTTAGATCCACATTTAACTCATTCAATGGATTGAATAAAAATAACTGGAAAAGAATATATCGAAAAAAATTACATCATAATTCTTACTTAAAACCACATCAAATCGAATGTGAACGATTGAAGGAAATTCTGCCAACTGTTGCAAATTGTAAAAATTTAGATGAAGTAAGTAATTAACCTTTAAAACATTATATATTTATGTATATTTATTTTTGCTATGATATATAAAAAGAGTTAATTTTTAGTACTAGAAGTCTACAACTATATCATTCTTACAGTAAAATTGAGAGTTTTAAATTTTCTTTTAAAGATTGACATTGACCAGTCTTAATATTTGTGTATTCGGAGTGGATCTGTCGTACATTTCATTTAGTTATAAGTTTTAGTATGATTTTTTATCGTAGCTAGAAGTGGACTGGCATTTGTCCTATTTTCTGCTTAACAGCTGGATGTACCTACATCTGAGAATCAGTGTTCGATTATATATGACCGGTTGTTGTTAATTATAAATGCTTAGATTATGTATTTATATTTGTTAATACAGTACAAAGAGATTCCAGTAAGCTTGGTCAAATACTAAAATCTGAAAACTCTTATAACAAGGACAGACAACATGCTCATACAGACAGAGAGACAGATACAACACAGAACTTCGTACATAAGTACATATCAGTTCAGGTTGTCATACCACATCAGCACAGAGACGTAACTGTCAGTTCAAATCCAAGAGTGATAGCGATAGTAGGAGTATTAGCAGTAATGGAGAAGATTAGGGTTCGAAGATATGATTTGAAAAGTATATATTCAGTGAGATAAGCTTTCCTACAGTGTAATCAACTCTTGAAACCTCAAACCTAAAGTAGCAAGTCCTCATATGACTCATCCAGTATAAAACTAGCCATATACAAAAACAAAGTCTCTAGAAAATGATCCCCCTATACTCAGCCTAAATCTTCAGCACTTCAATGTTTAATCTGAATAATCCTCAACAATTTCATGCAATGTTCATTGTTTATCCAAGTAAATAATGACTGACTACTACTACTTTTATGATGGATGAATTATTCAACTGTGATTAGAAAAATTATTTTTAAACTAGTCACGTTTTTCAAATTAATCTCTATAATTCTAAATAAATAAATTTCTTAATAAAAATCACGTTTTATGTTCGTTTTTTCGCCTTACATGATGTGTATACGTGAGTTTTCTTTTTTCCCGATTCAAATGAAACCATCCCGATAATAGAATTTGACAGTTTTTTTTACTTTTTACCACTCACTAATCTCCGGATAAACGTATTCTAACTCAATGAGTCTTTTTGTTAGTTAAACTCATTCTCATTAATCAATGTCACAGTTTCGGCTGGTTGATTCATTTTATGAAATGAAGTAATTTTGTTTACTCTGGTGATTATTTATTCTGTGGTAACAAATATATGACATTTATCACGTACTCAGTTGTAGTAACATTTTTTTCCTCTCATTTCCCCTTTTAGGTGAAAATTATTCAAGAAGCAATAAAGCATATTAATTATTTGGAACAAGCGGTATTACAACGATTAAATATTATCAATGATATAGATAGTTCAATTGTAAATAGTAAGTTTTATTTGAAATTGATTATGTTTTATGTCATTTGAATTAATAGTTCTATCAAGTGGACACTTAGTTATAATTCAATAAGAGTTTCAAAATATTTGACTTGATAAAATAATAGAATGATGATGATTGAATTAAGTAAGTAAATACTTTTCTTCTCTTAAGTATGTAATAAACTGTCATTCCAGTTTGAGGGAAATGCAGACAGTCCGTCCAGCGTTTATAGGTTCTCCAAAATAGACGCATTGAGTAAACTGATTGTGCTAGCTGACCAACCGTTGAAAAAATGCATCTAGTTAGAGAAAGATTTGAATGTCTTTGTAGCAATTGATAGTTTCTAGTCTTAAATACTACTTCCCTAATATTTTCAATTATCACTTATATACTGCTACTACTTCTACGACTATATGAGATTTAGAATTGACAATTCCATCTCTCTCTCTCTCTATGCTAATATTCTAAGATAAGTTGAACTATAATATATATATGTACGTACCAAGTTCTATATGTTTGTTGTTGATTGACCCACTAACTGACTGACTGATTCTCAAATACTTGATCAAACTATCTGGTGTAGTAGTCTTTTCTAATAAAATATATCAGTTCATGTTAAAACTCAAAATATTAAGATTATTCAGAAAAATCATTGTCAGTCAATGTAAATAACATATTTCTTTGTATGATGTACCGACAAAAATTAAAATCATGTTTATTTTTCAATCGATACATAAATGATGTTTGTAATCTATTGAATAAATAATAAGCTAATTTTTAATAGTTCAAACATGTTCATCATACAGCAAAAACCATTTGAGTAATGTTAGCAACTATCAGATTATTTTTCTACTTTGAACTTCAAACATCTGTGTGTGTGTGTGTGTAGGTTTTAACAAGTCACCTGTGAATAACCCTAACACATGGTCACATGTTCACACATTATTTGATTCTATTATATATATATATATATATATATATATATATATATATACATGTGTATACAAATAATGAATATATGTCCATGCTTAGGTGGCTACTATCAGTTAAGTGTAAATCAGCATCTTATATGAACATATGGTTAAATTCTCATTAAAGAGATACAGTAGTCGAAATAATAATGGTTATAACAGTAACAATAACATTCCACTGATTCATCTTGCTACTCATTTTTTTTTTAAAAAAAAGGTATATTTAATTTGTTAATTTAATTAAGATAGATAGACAGACAGACAGATACAACACAGGACTTCGTACCATAAGTACATATCAGTTCAGGTTGCCGTACCACATCAGCACAGAGATGGAACTGTCAGTTCAAATCCAAGAGTGATAGCGATAGTAGAAGTATTGGCAGCAATGGAGAAGATTAGGGAGCGAAGATGTGATTCTAAAAGTATAATTCAGTGAGATAAATTTAGAAGGGTAAAGATAGAGATTATGAGGAATTCAGAAGGTTAGAATTAGAGAGAACACAACGAGTAGATGCACCTGCGACCATCGCAAACGATTCTGACCCATGTCGTTCAAGGTCTCTAACCATTGATGACTTTCATCTCGCGGACCCCAATCAGTTAGCCTACATCTACCAACATGACTCAGTCCACTTGTCAGTAACTTCATGGATTTGGTTTGGCCGCCCCTAGCTTTCTTTCAACCTACTCATACACCACAAAACATAGCTCGTCAAGGCAGTCAGTGCTTAAATTCAATTAAAAGAGATTTATGTATATATACACACACGCACACACACTTATTGTACAATACTTCACATGTTCACAACTAATTCATTCATAGAAAATTTCTATCTAATTACTTACTTACCAATTAATTAATTAAAATAATATTTAATATTATAAGATTCTAGAAAATGAATAAGACATTATTTTTTTCAGTTTATATCATGTGGCTATAATTCAATTAATTTTCCTTTTCCTCGTCTTTTATTTTCATTGCACAGCTAATCTCCATTCTTCCTCCTCATCATCATCATCACCGTCATCGTCATCCTCTTTACTTCCAGCATTCCTTTTTAAATTATTATCCAATCAAAATAATCCATCTTATCAGAACAGTATTGAATTACATAATCATTATTTTATTAATAATAATAATAATAATAATAATAATAATAATAATAATAATAATAATAATAATGAGCATTTCTTCGCAAAATCTTATGAACATTTAAATTCCAATGGTAGTACACCATACTTGACAGATGAGGATATTTATTGATCAACTGGAAATATCACACACAGCTTTAGCGCCTTTGTAAATAAATGAACAATTGAACATTGAACACCACAATCCATTGTACATAAATAACTATCAACATTATTATTGTATATAAATTATTATTATTTTTTTTTTGATTCCATGAAATATTTGAAGAGATGATCTATTATAAATAAAATTATGAATTCATATATTTTGTTTTACTGTGTAACTTCACTGTTTGATCAGCGATACTTATGATTTGATTCTGTTATCATTTTTAATTACAAATTTTAGTTGAATAGGCCAAGAGAGGAAAGTGAAAGACAGTTAGATAATTACAAGGAAACTATATAAAGTTTCCCCCAGAACTAAGTTTTTATGATTCATGAAATTCGTAAAAAACCTATTTGTAATATTCTTCTGTAGTATACTTCTGTACGACCGGGCAGTTAGAGTCGATACCACTGATTTCGTTATAGACTAAACAGAATATCGTCACATGAAATATGATTATTATGAATGTTATCATCATCTCTCCCAGTAATCATGTTACTATCATCGATCTACTGTATACAGTATGTAAATCAAAAGTAACTTCAGTAGACAAACGTCTAATATATCTCCTAAATACAATAGTATCAAACAATAAAAAGCTCAAAGTAATTAATCAATACGAAATATTAGTATGGTATATACTACTGAATTGTGGTGCCTAGTAGTTTGATTAGCCGTAATACTTTTTTTAAACCACTTTTCACAAATTAGTTTATGACAGAGACATTTCACTTCAACTAAATGGTTAGTGAATTTTAGTGATTCTTCAATCGAAACAGAAGTTCATTGAAATCATGAGTCGTCAGTTTTATGCTATCACTGAAAACCTAGAACAATTGGACGACCGTTTTATCCTAGTATAGGACTCCTCATCCACAATCCTACACGCGAAAATCAAAACCAGTACTTTGGGTCATGCGCAAACACTTAACATCTAGACCATTGAATCAGCAATCAGTGGTATTAATGTCTTGTTCCAATCACTGCATGATACTTAAAAGACCATCATCGATTATCTACAGAGAGTAACATCCTTACACTCCACTAGTAACGACTTCTCATTAGAACTTCAAGAATTCACTAACGAAGCTGTTCACTTGTGAGCATATCACTCATTTTTACCATTGGAACGGCAGTCTAAGGTGATAAAGTTCCATACTAGGTCGAAACAGAGGTCCAGCACTTTCAAGTTTTTTAATGATGGTCTGACGTCGATCGTTTCATGCATTATTGGAATCGATTTAACTTAAACAACCATTACAAACCTATAATCACTAGTACGGGACTCCTAGAAGCAGTAAATCCACGACCCCAAAACCGAGAACGGAACCGAAGACTTTCAGTCTTGCGTGCAAACACCTAAACGTCTGAACGCTCCAATGGGATTCAGCGGTATTCTTTAATTTGTAGGCTACCGTCCAGTGCTTCCAAGTTTTGAATGGCTGTCTAATTGATATAGGTCCTTGATATGAATGAAATTTTACCCAACTTTCCTACTCCTAGAATAACCATACTAAACACATCCTTATTCACTACTATCCTCCGTATTTTCCTAATTAAAATTTATTGATTTTAGTATAAAATACAATTTCTTCATATTTGCATTCATATTCCATATTTCACATACAAAGTGGGTCAACACAGTGTGTACAAGTGATTCAATAATGTCATCATTGTATGTTAAGCTTGTCGAGTAGAG